TAAAATCAAAATAGCAAAATCAGCACAGGACACTTGTTGAAAGAACAGGGGTCACACATGTTAGGATATGGATGTACATCGTTACACAAAGCATCTTGAGTTTGAGGGGGAGTGTTAGATATGGTTATCTTGGGTTCATATTGATATAAATTATTATGGATGTATGAGTATATATCTGTTGATAAGCTTAGGTATCAAGTTAATTTGGTGATAAGGCCTCCTACTATTTACCTCTATCTCCAAGAATCATAATATATTTATCTCATGTAATTGTGTGATTGTCCTCTATATGTATAGATATTTATTAGTGTAAACATTCATCCAAAAATAGTGAAGATGTAGCCCGTTGGGCTTTGGATTCGTAGATGTAAGGCTTCGGCTTGAACCACGTAAATGTTGTGTTATCTCTTCTTCTCTCTCCATTCTCCATTCAATCTTTGTGCATATATGCTCCCATGAATTCTAACATGGTATTAGAGCAAAGGACGGAAAATTTATAGAGTAAAGGACGGAAAAAACTCACTCTGATCGTTAATCGACTATTCAGGAACAACCCGATAGTAGGGCTCAAATCAGAGGATTGTAGAGATACAAATCAATCCTTAGGTAGGAGATTCGATCGAGCAGTAGGTCTCAAAAAACCTAGCTCTGATACCATGTTAGAAACTGCATTTCTGTATATTTGGGCCTTAGGCCCTCATGGAAGATTATGCCATAGGCCCCCATGAAAGATTATATTATAATACTGCAAAGAATTCTAGAACAAATCTTGTCTACTGCACAACCTTCCGTTCCAACATCTTTATCATGTTTCTCTCTCTCAACCAAATCTTGTCCAAGGTGCTTCCATTCAAAACAAAGAACCAAAACAAAAAAAAGTTCCCAATTTTTAGCAGCAGAAGTACAAATTTATTTCCGATTTGAAGCAACTGACTGCTACTTGTTGTTGCCTTACTGAGACCGCTTTAGAGAAAGATCTTTGTGATTTGAAAATCATCCGTCATTGCTTATTGCTTTAAGTAAACCATTGTTGTCATGCTCCCCTCTGAAGCCAGCTATGAAACCCGTCTCTAAATCCATCTCTGAAAACGGCCAATCTGAACCATATGCAAAACAGCTACTGAGTCTTGTTTTCGACTCTCTGATTTGTTTTGGATCTTACTGTTCTCAACTCTGAATATAAGGTCCAACTGTGCTTGTTGATCTGCTACTATTTTTGTTGGCTCTTCCAAGTGCCTCATGTTTGATGATCGAATTTTTTTATCCTAATTGATGATCAAGTTTTCGTTACTTGATCCTGTTTAATGATTGAATTTTCGTTACTCAATCCCATTAGATGATGGAGTTTTCCGTTACTCCATCCTATGTGATGATCGCGTTTACTCACTCATGTCTATTCCGGATGCCTATGTTTAATGATTGAGTTTTTCGTTACTCAATCTTATTAGATGATGGAGTTTTCCGTTACTTCATCCTGTTTGATGATCAAGTTTTTCGCTACTCGATCCCGTTTGTTCCTAAGGCTATCTGTTGTTCCTGAGGCCGTCCGTTCCTGAGGCTTGTTGATCCGCCACTGCAATCCATGATTGTTGTTCAAGCAATCTGATGATCACTATTTGTTTTTGGCAATTTAGTATTGTTTACTACTCGTTTTGGCAATTTAGTATTGTTCAAACTCCAGTTGCTTTACGTCAAAGCATTTTGAGGGGGAGTGTTAGAATATGAATATACATCGTTACACAAAGCATCTTGAGTTTGAGGAGGAGTGTTATGATATGGACATCTTGGGTTCATATTGATATACATCATTATGGATGTATGGGTATATATATCTCTTGATAAGATTAGGCATCAAGTTAGTTTGTAGGAATCAAGTCAAAGGTGTTTGGTCATCAAGTTAGTTTGGTAAAAAGGCCTCCTACTATTTACCTCTATCTCCAAGAATCATACCATATTTATCCCCTGTAATTATGTGATTGTCCTCTATATATATAGAAGGACTTATTGATGTAAACATTCATCAAAAAATAGTGAAGATGTAACCCGTTGGGCTTTGGATCCGTGGACATAAGGCTTTGGCCTAAACCATGTAAATGTTGTGTTCTCTCTTTAGCTGCTACCCATAAAGGAGAGAAAGAAAGAGAATAGAGAAAAAAAAAAAAGAGCGAGGACAATCACACAATAACGTGGTTCAGGCCAAAGCCCTACGTCCACGGATCCAAAGCCCAACGGGCTACATCTTCAATATTTTTTGATGAATGTTTACATCAATAAGTACCTCTATATATAAAGGGCAATCACACAATTACAGGAGATAAATATGATATTCTTGTAAATAGAGGTAAATAGTAGGAGGCATTATCACCAAACTAACTTGATAATCAAGTAACTTTGACTTCGTCTCTTCAAACTAACTTGATACCTACTCTTACCAATAGATATATACCCATACATCCATAATGATACATATCAATATGAACCCGAGATATCCTTATCCTAACACTCTCCCTCAAACTCAAGATGTTTTATGTAACGATGTCTATCCATATCTCAATATGTTAGAATTTGTAGGAGCATACATGCACAGATATTAAATAGAGAATGGAGAGAGAAGAAGAGAAAACACAACATTTACGTGGTTCAGGGCGAAGCCTTACATCCACGGATCCAAAGCCCAACGGGCTACATCTTCACTATTTTTGGATAAATGTTTACATCAATAAGTACCTCTATATAGAGGACAATCACACAATTACAGGAAATATTAGCTATCACTTTCACTAGCGAAGGGTGTATGTCATGATACATCCTTACATGATTTACCCCATATTTGTCACGTGATATTTGTAAAAGTTTTTACCTTAGCAACAATTGAAGTACCAAGATATTACCGATTCGAAGTTGTATAAGATATTATCATCTACGCCATTCTGATCAGGAATTTATTGGATAATTACTGCAACTTCAAAATATCAAATTAATTTATCACTTGCAATGAAATAATTTCCATCACTATTAGTCTATATGAATCGAACTACACAAAATTAAAACCATAAATATGTTTAACATTGTATAAAAAGACATCAAAATTAAAACATAAAAAATCACACATAATAGCTTTTACTCAATTATTGTCAACTTCATATAAACTATCAACTTCTTACAAACTGTTTCCCTCTTGTCATTTTAGGTAATGACATGTTTCTTCTCCAAATCTTATTAATAACTTTCCAAACACATAACATAACAGGGAAAGGTTTTTATTGCAATAATAACAAGAAACTTTAAAAAATTGCAGTAAATTGATCTTACCAGGATAACTATTGGAGTTATTACCAACATTAAAACTTACCGTGATTGCCCAAACAAAAATAAAAAGTGAAATTATTTAGAGATAATCGTCACCAAGGTCTTGATTAGGAAACATCTTCCTCTACCTATTTAGGCAATCATCTTGCCAAAAAGCAATCATCCAAATTAGTCAATCAATCAACTGCTCTCTCTCTCTCTC